GTAACCTAGCAACACCCTGATATTTTTTAATCCAGTCTAAACATCTGGCTGACTATATGACCAACCATGATAGTTGCTGTTGTTGTTGAACTTCTGTTGTTTCTTAGCATTTGCCCCACATGGTTGCAGAATTCCCTTGTTTTTGCAGTGCACTCACCTACTTCTTGCAGCAAAACTACCAATGCATGATGTGACAAGCTGTTTTCTTTATCAGTTGGCTTGTCGCAGAGAATGATGCTGAGCATAGCGGAGAGGGAGTGCCTGGCCCAGGTCCCCCTAGCTGGTTTCTGCACCTAAGACAGGATTGGAACTTGGGTCTCCCTGCTGCTAGTCCAGCCCCTTAACCATTATACCACAACTGGTTCTCATATGACTGAACTACAGTAATGCGCTTTAAATGGAGCTGAGTTGGAGAAGGGCCTGGAAACACATTGAAATTCTGGCTCTAGCTTTGCTTCCAGATCCAGTTCAAAATACCAGTTATGACCTTTAAAGCCTAATGAAGTTTACATCCATGACTATCTGATGGATCGTGTGCTCCTATGTGAAGATATCCATAGGTCTCAATTACTTTCTCCCATTTATTAAATTATTTAGATTTTTGGCAGCCCCAAATCATATTTGGGTGCGACAGGAAGGAGGGCCTTCTCTGTTGCCACTCCACATCATTCCTCCTCTTTTCTAAGCTTCTGTCTTACTGCTTGGACCTTACATTGTAAGAAAATCTTTGGCCTTCTAAGGTTGCTTGTCTCAGGATGCTTTTGATTCAGTTGCTTTTAAATTTTGAGGCTGCTGGTGTCCACACTTGTTTCTTTTATATATTGTTGCGTTTATTATGGTATGTTTTACCATCTTACTGTAAATTGCCTTGAACTGGCAAGGTAGAAATATTTTTAAAGGACTAAACTGGAGATGTGCTTTTGTTTTATGATTGAAAGGAGGTAATTTCTATAAAACAGCGGTGGGCAGGGGACAAGGTAGTATTTACTGTTAGATCATTTGTTGATCTGCAGTCCAAACAGCAAGGATGTCTGACTCACAACTGTATTAGGCAGCAAGAGCAAAAACGCCTCTCTCTCCCACACACATCTAAATCAGATAGCCGAGGTGGAAGAAACCGTGCGAGGAGGAACTAAAAGTAGCTCTTTCTATGTCTTCCCAGAGGCACAGGCATACTTATGTTCAGAACCATTATAGTTGTCTCAATTCCTAAGCTGCTGTTTTTCACCTAGCTCCAGTTAGTAAAGCTCACGATTATTAAAAATTAGCTTATGCATGGTTGAACGTTCCTTGATGGAGAGACAACATTACTCCATGTCTGCAGTACTTGTTCAAAATCCAGAACTATTTCTGTCTTCCTAATTCTGTTGCAGGGAAATAAGGGAGATTCTGGTTCTACAGGACCGATAGGACCAGCAGGGCTTCCTGTAAGTATAGACCTAGTATTCCTCTCTGATGATTTTTCATTTTATATCAACTATTTCCTACAGCAGTGTTGTCCAAACTTGGCCACTTTAAGATGAGTGGACCTCAACTCCCAGAATTCCCCAGCCAGCCATGCTGGCTGGGGAATTCTGGGAGTTGAAGTCCACTCATCTTAAAGTGGCCAAGTTTGGACAACACTCTCCTACAGGAAAACTTGGCCACTTTAAGATGAGTGGACCTCAACTCCCAGAATTCCCCAGCCAGCCATGCTGGCTGGGGAATTCTGGGAGTTGAAGTCCACTCATCTTAAAGTGGCCAAGTTTGGACAACACTCTCCTACAGGAATGTCTTTTTTGAAAGTGCTAGAGGCTTTCAATGTTCTCTCCACAAGCAGAAACAATAAAAATGTTCTGCTTCGTTGCTGAGAAATTGTAAGGCTCAAAAATGAACATTATACTTGCCAATCTGCTTTTATTTAAACCCAGGGATGAGAAAAATGTTCATGCAGATAAACCCCCAATGTGAGAAATCAAAATTAAGATTTATATACTGAAGTGTAGTAGGTTAGCTGCAGTTAGTTCAGAATGTAAAAAAACTGGGTAGAAACCCTTTTGGAATTCTAGTGCAGAATACTTGGGAAAATATAGGTTGTAACAGGGTAATCTTTCTGGATCTCCACAACGCTTCCAGGTTTGGGGCAAACTGACTACAACCCTAATTCTGTATATCCTGAAGTGACATAACGTTTTCAAAGTTGTAAAAATATCTTGTAGGGCTTTCAAGGCTCACCAGGTGAAAAAGGAAACCGGGTAAGTCTTCAATTAAGCTCATTTACATACTTTTTCATACTTTTGTCTTTAAGAAATGGTGGAATGATTAATTTTTATGGCATGGAAAAGATAATTACATCCTATCAGGAAGCTGCACAAGTTTTCATGAGTTTTGACAACAATACTGGTTGGTTAAAAAAAAAAAAAGTTTGGATTAAATTTCATGAATTCCTTGGTTAGTCTTAAAATTAACTTGCAACAAATATTTGGTTGCTAATCAGACACAGAACATGCCTCCATTCATCATGATTCCAAGGTTGATATCACATATTAATCATTCTACTTCTGATTATGTTCCATAATTTCCTCTAGATATAAATACAACCTTTAATATCAGGATGACTCCATACTAAGTAACCTAGCAACACCCTGATATTTTTTTAGTTGGTTTTAAATTTGTATAGAATTTGGACACACAATGTCCAGTCTTGGTTAACTAAGGCTTGGATTTTGTTCCAACAACTTGGTTGACTAATGAGATGTTTGGTAGAATCAGATAAACCTCCGTCCATCTGGATGATGAATCTTGAAAGAAAAAATACTGTTAATTGGAATAAGCCACTGGGAGAAATTGTCTTAGCTGTGGCTCATAATGCAAGGAAAATGCAAGGAAAAAAAATGCAAGAAACATTTACTAGGACCAAAAATCCAAAGTTTTATTCTGTAGCCTGTGGGTGGTATATTTGCAAAATAATGAGACAGAAGGATCTGAATTAGAGCAAACATCTCCCAAACCAGGACCAAATCATGCAGAAATAGTCACTTAGCCTTTAATAAGGAAACATGTTCCTAGTCTTTTTCACATGTTGGTGTGAAAAAGTTGCTAAAAAGCCTGATGCTTTGACAGGAAAAGGCTATTGGTAGTTTCTCAGAGATGCAGATATTGTCCTCCCAGATAAAATGTAGGGGTAGCCTAATTCCACACTGATTACGCTGGACCCAGTTCAGCAACTGCGAAAGCTGCATGAAAGGCTGGTGAAAAATGCAAGAAGATAGTTCTGGTCCCTTCATTTGACTCTGGTCCTCCCTCCCCTTCTGCATGGTGGTTTGCTCTCAGTCCTAGTGAAGGGAGAAAAGCAACCAGGAAGAACCAGTAGAGAGAGCTGTGGAAGAACAGGTTTCAGCACCTCATCCCTGTCTGTTCCGAGCATCTTTTCAGCATCCCTCCCAACTCCTCTTTTATAGAGATCCAGTAGCCGGTCTAATTCTGGCTCAGAAATCTGCTCCCTTGCAAGCTAGTCATTTCTTTTCTGCAGTTCTGCTCCATTGTTTTAGGTCTTACCACTGAAGGATCTGGTAACCTCTTAACACCAAACAGTCAAGATGGCGTGGGACATATAATGAGAGCTAGGGAGCGTAGAATGTTCTTGGAGCAAACCAACTGAAAAAATATCAATGCTTAAGCTATCCGTTGAAGTGGAATTTGTTATTTCAATTTGTTCTTTTTCTTCTCCTCTCTACATGTGTGTTTGCGCGTGTGTCTTTTCCTTGCTTCCACAGGTCTACCTTTGTCCCCCTTATTCCTTCCTGCTCTTCTGCCTTTTCTCCTGAGTTCTTCCTCCTCTTCCTGCGCAACCCATTCTGCATTTCCTCCTGGATTATGCTTCCTCCATGCCAGCGTTTGATCCTGGGTGACCTCTCCTTTCCCATCCATTTTTTTTTCCTCCTGCCAGCTTAATGTTTCAATCCCATTCATTTCTCCCCTCCAAAATTAAAAACAAGAGTGGGAAAATCTATTACATCCTAATTTTATGTTGTCATCTAATCCTTATACCAAATACTAAATGAAATTTCCTTCCCGCCAATCCCACTTACATTTTATATCCAGAGCACGTATCAAAACTGCATATGTTACTGACATTCTAAATTGGTCCAGAAAAGGAATATTGTTCTCTTACTGAATATTGGTCCTTGGCTGGATGTTGGCTCTGTTCAAAATAGACTGACCTCAGAGACACTCAAGGTGATTTTTCAGCTTTATACAGGAAGCTGGCATCAAGCCCACAGTCTCTATTTTTATCCCATCGGGGTTCAACTTTAAGAAGTTAAATAGGACACAACAGCTTTAAATTGCTTTGCTAAGTTCCTCTCCTATGAAATCAAAATCACAATAGGCCCTGGGTGCCTATCAATTTAAAAAGTGATATTTTGAGCTTTTTAAAATAACAATTCAGCATTAACATTAGCGTGTATTCTTTTCAGGAAGCAAGACAACTTTTAAAATGCCTTTTACATTTATTCTTGAAAGGACTATGTTAAAAAAAAAAAAAAACCCAACAGAGCTAAATATAAACAGTTGATGTGTCCAATTACATCTTCCCCAACCACATATGCAGAATTAGACTATGGGCTATTGCTCATGGCTCAGTTAAAGGACTATCCTTGTGCTAGCAGGAAATTATATCTAGGTAATATTTGCTGTCCCCATTGCCAGTCTCCACCATACCACAAGCAAGGTGCTGCCAAAAGTGGCGTTCTTATTTACTGTATGCAGGAAAGGGACTGGTGGATTCTCTAACTCTGTTTTCCTCCCTTCCCCAACAAACTCACCAGGTGGTGAGAAAACATCTACCAATCACTGCCCTTAATATAAGATGAAGCTGGGATAAGGAAAAGGCGAGTTTGATCAGATGGATAGGATGACATTTTCAATGTCAAAATTCATTCTGGGTTTTGCATGGATGAGTCCAACAGTAGTCTGACTAACCGATAGGACCAGCAGGGCTTCCTGTAAGTATAGAC